CATCAAGTCTGATCCAATTTGGTTTTTTAATCACTGATCAATAATAATATCATCACATTTATTTCCCACCATTCACCAAAATTCTTCCTTTCAAGCTTTTTATTGAACATCTTGTATGCATCAAAGTTCAAACAAATAGCAAGCCTCCTCCTCCTCAATTACCTTTCTAAAATTTTTCCCGATATATATATTTAGATTAATCAAGCTTCTCAAATTCAACATTTCAGCGCACATAAACAATTTTAACTTGAAAGGAAAAACCAAATTCTCATGCTTCTCTATTTACAATAACCCAAAACAACTATATCAAAATTACTTAATGGAAATGTTCACTTGAGCTTAAATTCTAGCTTGCTCAAGCCCCCCTCTCAACATTTTCAAATATGACAGCTCACCTTCGGTCGGCAAGTAGAAATAGAGAGAAGGAGACCCAATGCAACCCATACCATAGCAAGAATAGAAGAGGAAAAGGAGCTTCGGCGACGCAACGCACAACCAAGGAAGGAAGAAGATTCTCACGCACCCAAAATAATTGCACAGACAGAGGAAGAAAAGAGGAATCAATGGCAAGGCAAGGGAGAGGAAGAACTCGCGAGTCAAGCCACTAGCATTGCAAAATTGAACAGCCATGTCTGCGACAAGCTGTTAACGGAGGAGGCGAAATGGTGGGTTCAAGGTTTCTAGGCATGAAACTTTTCTTGCTCTCTCAATGGACCAAAATGTAAAATCAGATCAGGGAAGGAGGAAAAAAAATCTAATGGGTTAAGTGAAAAGCATTGTAGCAATTTCACTTAGGCTGAAACAAAAATAAAACCCATCTTTAAGCTCTAGGAGACTTGAACTCAAGGCCTAAATATGAACACCCATATTCATTTCCACTAAGCCATCAACTCATTCTTGATAAAACCATTCCAAAATTAATCAAAATGCATGTAAATTATCTAACCAAAATTTTTTATTTATTAATTTTTCCCTTAGTCATTATAATTTTGTTTTGATAATGAACTTATAAAAGTACATAGATCTTTGTATTATTGTTTGTACTGGTATCTTTTGTGCCCTTAGAGAAATAACATTTCCCTCTAATTTGAGAAGGGAGGATTCATGGTCTGAAAGTGTGGAGCGAAAACATTGGCCAAGTAACCTCTGACAATTAGAGAGTGGGCTTAATTCAATTACAGTTAGCAATCCTGAACTTGTATTTAATACATTTTGAATCCTAAATAATTAAACTTGAGGCAATCTCACCCCACCAATAATTCTAAATTGACATCCATCACTATGCATTGTGAGACCCATCATTTTCTACTTTTACCTTCTCTACCTCATGTCTCTCTCTCTCTCTGCACCTTCTCCTCCCTCCTCCTCTCTCTCTCTCTGTGCCTTCTCCTCCCTCCTCCTCAACGAGAGAGATTGAGAAGGAAGAGGGAGGAGAGGGCAAAGATAGAGACATAGGGACTAGAGAAAGTAAAAGCAAAAAAAATGACGGCCCTACAATGCCTAATGTAAAAGTCTTGATAAATAAAATAAATATTTGTATATAATAATTTGTTTTAAGGAATATTTTATTAATATTTAGAATAATTATAACAAGAAAGAGTGTTGGTATATTGGAAGTTGCACAAATGACCTATTTATTTATTTGGTTCAAAGTTTGAACTTGAATGAGGCAAAAAAGGACTGAGTCTTATTTTCTGCTTTTGTTTTCCAAAATTACGACATTGCCCCCTTCAAAGCTGATAAACATTTCCTTCTCTTTTTCGATTGTTCCAAATTGGTCCAGAGAGAGACAGGCTCCAATTTTTTTTTTCTTTCCTTCTTTCCTTCTACTTTCAACCATCGCCAGTGGGTCATACTGTCGCTGCTCCGTCCGTTCCCCATTGACAGGTGCTGGAGCTCGTTGATTGCTACTGTGTATCAGCTAAGATCTCTCTATTCCTCCCATTTTTAAGCTCACCGTGAACTACCATGTTGAGGTGTTGGCCGTGGGTCCGTTTCTTTGTGTGCTGTTGGTTTGAGTGAAGAGTTAAGTTGCTGAAGCTGAACGATTCTGCTCTTGAATTCTTCCTCTTTTGTTCAGTTGTTGCTTCAATTTCTTCTCTGCCCTAACTTCACCGAACAGAGGTAGGAGATTTGGGTCTCTTCTTCTCGATTCTGTTGTGCTTGTGAGTGTGGTCTGCTGTTGCTGTGCGAGAGGGTGTCATTTGTTTGTGTGTGCGTGAAATTACATAATGTTAGTGCATGCTCTGTTGTTGCCATGCTGTTACAGGGAAGGGACAACTCAAATATTAAGCTGGAAATTTATCTTCAAAGCTTGATAATGATATATATATTTATGGTTGAGTTAAATTAATTTGTTTGAAATGGTTGATGTTGAAGCAATTGTTAGAATAAAATTAGAAGATAGGAGCTTACATGAGATACTTGGAAATTAGTGTTTATAAGATATTTGTTAAAACGTTTGTTATATATAAGAATTGAACTTGATTTTGAAAATTCATTGATCCTTGTCAATAATATATCAAATTGAGTTCTATTGTTCTATGAAGTTAAGCTGAGGATTTCAAAAGAAATTTGAGTATAAAATTAGTATCAAACTATTTAAATTTTGAGAAATAAATGGTTGTGGATGAAGTTTGTGATAAAGGATTGGAATACTAAAAGCTCTTATAAGTAGGTTGAAAATGATGCATAGTTGATACTTTGATAAAAAGATTAAGAGAGATGGTATTTTAATGAAGTATTGAGCTACAGTGTTTGAAGAATTTCTATATATAAAGTCTTGCTCATAAAATTTTAAATTTATTATAAAGTCTTGTGATAAAGTCTTGCTCATAGTTGATACTTTTGATAGTGGTGTTGGAAGAAATTATTGAACTTATTGAAAGTTTGTTTAAAAATTTTAATTTAATTTATAAGGTATTTGCAGGGGGAAGAAATTTAATTGATACGGAAAGGTGAATCCTTGAATTTTGGGGAATTTCATATACGTGGATAGCGTCCCAACTAATATTTCAATAAAAATTTATTTTATTAAAATATTACATTTTTATGCAAATTCTTTTTACAATAACAATGTGATTATTAGATATTTTGTTATTAAATTACTTTATTTTGTGAAATTATTTTACCATATTTAATCAGTCAATACAAGTTTCAATTCTAATTTTGGGACTTCATTTTGAAAATTATTGAATTGCTATGAAAAAAAAATGATTCATGTGAGTTCGATATTGAAAATAAAAATTTTATTCTAATGGTGAATATTTTCTCGCGTGTTTGAAATTGAGTTTGAAAAAGACTTTATACAAACACTGGTTGCTAATGATAGTTTCATTAGCTCTTGGCACCTTGGCTAATGACTAGCTAGTTTGAATTTTGTGAGCTCTATTTTCACTTTTGTTGTTCATAGGTCTAAAACCTGTATTTGATTTCGTGGCTCCGAGCTACGTTTGGTTAGTATTACCCTCGTGAATCGTGTGTCCACATTTGTTTTATAACTTAGGTTGTGTTTAGTTACTTACCATCATAAACTATGTGTCCACATTTATCTTCTTGGCATAAGCCACGTTTGGTTATTTACCCTCAAGGACTATATATCCATGTTTGTTACTTGTTCTAATGAGTCCCTATAATTATGAGTTTTTAATTATTTGATGAATTTACTTTTGATTGATTTTATGATTAGTGACATATTTATAATTATTTGATGTAGTTATTTGCTTTATTGAAATTAAATAATAATAACATTTGATATGATACTTTAATGAATCAAGATTTTATTTAAAGTTACATAGAGCCCTTTTCATATGCTGAAATTTATTGATTTTTTTTTTGCAAAAATTGTCATATTCAGCACACATAATCATTTTAAACTTTTCTTTCCTACATAACTATTTGTTGTTGCGATACCATTCACTAGAAATTTATTTTGGTCTCAGATTCATTAGTTGACACTGATCCTACTACTGACATCTGAAGGGCATACAACCGATCTGGGTAGAATTTTGCCTAGCATTATTTTTTTTAATGTAAATATTTGAACTGATGTATCTTATTTTGAAAATAAAGTTAGATGCTCCACGTAACTTATAGCTAAGTTTCTATTTTGATATATGTTGTCTGCTGGCTGAAAGGAGTTAAACTCCTAATTGATACTATATTTTTTTGTAAAATATTGTATTATAAAATTTTTAAGAAATCCTATTTACAGGAAAAGTTTTGCTGAAATTTCTACAAAAATTTTGAAGCTTTTATTACCATAATTTTCATTAAGTATGTTATAATTTTCAATACAAATTAAATTATGTTTTAAAATGAAAAGATTTTTAATTTAAAACTTAAGGGATGCATGATATGGTTCACATCCCTGTGTTAGTCACACTCTATTTATAGGGCGTGACACCTAAAGTGATCGACGTTAATTTGGAATTAATGGTGAGAGTGAGGTTATTCTAAATTTAATTGTTTAGGGTTAAAAATATGTCAAATATTAGTTCATGATTCAAACCACTTTTGGGCCTTTAGTTTATAGTTCAAATTGTCATTTAATCCTATTTTTAAATTTTTTGGCAGCATTTTTAATAAAAAATTGCAATATTACATATTAGGTTCTAATATTTATATTCCTTTTCATTCTCTAATAAATATGGACCAGACTATAAATTTCTTTTTTATTTCTTATTATTTTGTTTCATTCCATTCTTTTAAATCTAAAAAATTCAATGCACATGTCTTTAAAATTTATTCTTACAGAACCTACTTCCAGAGTAATTGGTAGAAAATCTGCTAGCATTAAATTTTTGTGGGAATAATTTCCTATTTTAGATTCGTGTGAATGCAAGGGGGAAAAAAATCTATGAGAAAAATGGCATATTTTGATGGGAAGGAGTGAGTAACAATTATAATCCAAATTTAAATGTCTATTATTTTCTGTCGGACCATTAAAGTTTGTATCGGTCCTTCTTCGTGCTTTTAGAGAAATAATAATAACATTAATCTTCAGTTGGGAAAATAAAAATTCTCATTTTTCAAATTATTTTGTACATTTTTGCCATCAAACATAAATTTAATTTATTAATTTTCAATGTAAACTATTTTTTTAAAACGTATCAAGTACATTCTTTTAAAACTATTTTTTTAAAACGCATCAAAAGGCACTTTCATTTAGACTTGAACATGAATGAAAACGCACGTTTGAAGGAATTCACCAACGATGGGAGGACACTTCAAGATGATTTGCAGAGCGTTAGAGAATTTGCCGACAAGTTCGAAGATGCTAGCAATTCTTGGATAGAACGTCTAGAGACTGCATTAGGGATTTCATAAGGAATCCAGATCCCAGATTGACAAAGATGGAGACCGTGTTAGATGTTCTGGTTAGCAAATCAAATGTTCGGGTTGACAAATTTGAATTAAGAGTTGATTCTTTACTCCGCATGGTTGAGAAGATGTATCGAGAGAGTGAGTCGACTAAGGTGTTTCAACCTGGGGGTTATGACAGTGGCGGCACGCTCAACCAGAACTCGCAGTGTTAGGTAAAAATTGACTTCCTGAGATTCGATAGTACTGACCCACATGGGTGGATTTTTCATGCTAAGCAATATTTCGCATTCTATCCTACGACGCTATCTCAACGTATCATCATGGCTTCCGTACACATGGATGGGGTAGCTGTTCTATGGCTACAGATGATGCTCAAAACCAATCTCATCATCACTTAGAGGAGTTTAACTAGAGCCATTGGAGAGCATTTTGGCCCTACTCAATTTGAACCGCCTCAGGTCCGGTTGTTTAGGCAGACTTAAGAAGCATCTCTAGATGTTTATCATCAATAATTCATGACTCTGGCCAATCGTACTGAGGGCATATCCGATGATGCTTTGCTTGACTATTATGTGGGTGGGTTAAAACCTGAGTTACGTTGGGAAGTGATAGCAAGGTCCCCTGAGACCCTTCCGAAGGAGGTGAGTTACACCAAGCTATTCCATAATAAAACTGAGCAACAGCCGTAGGGAAGCAAGGGAAAGATGAGCAATAGTATGCAAGGAGTACCACCATGGTCAACTAAGGGAAGTACAAGCAACAAACCCAATTTGATTCCTACTCTAAGCACCAGTGCATCGAGTAGTCTACCAAAGCCATTATCTATACCTGTGCTTCCTACTCCTCCTACTAAACCATTACCACTAGTCACATATATAATTAACATCATATGTATGTCTTCAAAAAATTGAGAGCGAATAGATGAATTTTAAATCTAGTTCTCAAATAAATACCTAATATAATGGGAAATTCTGCATGCGGTTTTGAGATTGGATAGGTAGTTCCTGGCCTAGGTTTGATGACAACAGCGCCATGAACTGTGGCTCGAGAATAGTCACTGTGAGCATGCCGCCAAAGAGTGCCTTCCTCTTCAGAGAATATGACCCTCTGACTAAACTTATGACCTGGTTTTATGGGACATTGAGTGATAAATTCGGGACCGTCTGATCATGGATATCTTGGTTGGTTCACTCCATGCCTGTGATATATTGATAAATTAAATTTTAAAATCAACTTTTAAACAAATTACTTGAAGCTTAGCTTTACGTTAATTGATAGAGAATTAAATTAAAAATGTGGGATTCGTTGGTTTATTTTTGATCAACGTATCAGTGGATGGTGATGCTCTCGTTCGCTCGGTTATAGACATCAACAATTATTGTTTCGCCTTTGGTCACGTACAAGGTTGGTCCCGGAAATTGTCCATTTACTGTCAATATGATCTTGGATCTACAAAGTGTTGTGTATGATGCTTCTTTGACCTGCATTGAATGAAACACAAGGGTCATGACATGCAAGTTAACATGTAGATATTATATGTCTATATGATCTCATTATGTTTTTGAGAGTTAGAAGTATTTCAAAATATATAGTTAAACTGAATTATTATCATAATGAAACATACCTCAAAAGTATAATGCCTCAGTGCATAAGAAACGAGGAGGTTGCTGAGGAACAAAATTCCAAATATTTGTAAGATGAATATTACTGAGATTTTCATGAAAACTCTTGAAGAGTTGGTCTCCACAGATCAGTAATTTTTCTGACGCTGTTTGTTGCTTCAAGAAATTGCTCTCGTCCTGCTGATCAATGCTTGCGTTGGGAGATTGAAGAGAAAAACTTGATATATATTTGTTTCTTGAAGAAAGGCTTGATATAAGTGGATATATTGTTCTGCGAATGATTGAGATGTTTGAAGATGGTGGCCATACATGCTGGTATATATAGTTTTGCGAGAGGCCTTGACATGAACATGATTACGCGTAAGACTACTTTTCAATTTGTGCGGCTTCTTATTTTGTCCAAGTCTTTGAATTATATTATGTGTTGCCAGGTCGTTATCGAAATATTGTTTTTGACAAACACGTTAGTCGGTCATCAGAAACTAGCTGCTGTATCAAATAGTTTGTTGGTTCAGGTTAGCTTATTGTGGAAATTGCAATATACTTATGGATTACGAGACAAAGTTGAAGAAGCATACGTAGTGTGGATGTTTCTTAATGGATAAGAACAAGTTCACGGTTTGGCTTTAAATATAAAAAGCTGGTCAATCCCCTTGAATGTTTCTTCATTTATGGGCTGATGATGGGAAGCCTGCTGCAAAATTCATTCATTTCTTGGTGAGCACTCACCTTTTTTCTTTGGCATCAGCTGCATAACAGAAAAAAGTTTGTAATTAAGAATATCTATACTTACATAATAAATGTTGAAAATCCAAAACCCACTAACATATAAAGTCAAAGGCTAAATAAATAAATATACTAAAGCCAATTTGAAATTGCGATACGGTCAACTATTTTTTTAATTAAAAACCGACTACTTATTTCTTTGATATTTCAAAGACAGCAACAGCCAATATTCTTTTCAATCATTGAACTTATCTTGAGAAATTTGAACTTCCAATTATCATAGAATTATTATAGATTAGTGAGATAAATTTAATAATATTAAAGCGAAGGTCCAATGTTACCATGCACGTATATAATTGTTCGTCGTTCGCTTTTGTCAAGTCAATGATATTATATTGTTATGTGTTGATTACCAGAGATATACGTCACTTGTAACTGATATTTTTCGCCTCATTCTTGTAGATTCATCAGTACGACAAACCTTAAAATAATCTTTCAATATAATCCATGCAAAATATAAAATTTATTATAAGTAAGAATCAAGCTATCCATCAACCAACCTTGAATGTATATTAACACGCATATACAAAGTTACACTTGAAGACAAACATCATATTTCAATGAAGCCTACATAATAAATAGAATAATTACTATTTTAACGCAATTGTTAAGTTCAAAATATAAATTATATTTCAGAAAATTTTTTTAATGACTTACGTTGCCAATAATAAAATCAATATTTTAATAATATTTTAGTTGTAGGCAAGGACATTTTCAAAATGAAAATGAGAGCGGCGTGTGTGTAGCTTGCGAGGCTTTGAGATCATCATAGTTACGCGTTAAAAAACAATGGTATTCAATTTTTGTGTTGCTTTTGTGTTTTGATGTTTTACGGCTCTAATTTGCCAAACACACGCACAGAACAGCAAAACGGAAGGGAATTTAAACTTCTATACCTCATATTACCAACCAGAGATAGAGAAGGGAAGGAGAATTTGAACTCATGCTAAACAGGGGAAGGGAGATTTTCAGTTATTACAGCAACATAGAAAGAAAATGAAGGGACCAACAGCAACCTTTTTCAGTACAACAATTTTTTTTTTTTTCAACTAGATTCCAGTTCCCCATCCCCACACCCATGGACAACACAGCACGAGAAGAATTATGATTTGATTATTAATTCATACAAACACGAGCAGATCAGTCAAGAAGAAGGGTTCCAAACTCGTCACCTGAATCACATTGACAGAAGCAAAGAGAGGAAGAAGAAGGTGTAACTCAGCAACCGTGAAGGAGGAGAAGGAGCAGAAAATATGAAGCACCCCCATCAGCACGCCGACGATGTGTGAAAAGACAGGGACTCAGACTGGAAACAGAGTGGAGAGAACTGAAATTCCAGGTCCACAAGCACACCGGACGACGTCGCAGCAAGGGATGGGAAAACGATCGATGGTGCACCACGGAGAACTCGCGACTCAAACTACACTCTGGACTTCCCAGTACTGGCGACGGCTGAAAACGAAGAAGGAACAGGGGAGAAGCTTCCCGATCTCTCTATTGGCGGTGAATCACAAAATGAAAGGCCATGGGAAAAATCTGATCGTTATTTTATTATTAAAGGGACATTTTGGTAAATTTATCAAGGCTTCAGCAAAAGAAAATCGCCTCTTTGCGCTAAGATGGTTTGAACATCGGACCGCGTAAATGTAATCCCAACACCCATTCCATTAAACCCCCCTTTCACCTCATTATAGTTACTCTAGAATTTATATAAAAAATACAATTAAAAAAATTCGTTATTATTCACTATTTATTTTATTTTATTTTATTATTTTTTAAGTTATTACAACAATATCTTCTATTTCCTTAATTTTTTTAAACCCGTTATTACAATTTAAAATTTATTCTTTATATTATTATTTTTATTCTTTAAAATTTATCCCATACTGATCGGCCTTCATTTTCAGGGTTTGACAATTGCAGTAGCTCACAAGTGCATGATTCAAACTATGAAAGATGATGGAGAAATCTCAAATGCTTTGCATGGGGACTAGATATGTGCTCAAGTGGTAGAGCTGAACTAAGATAAATCATAATTTGTATTATCTCTTCCCTCAAATCTTTATATTTTCAGCTATTATAGTTTATGCTCTAGTTTTATGTTAAAATTTGAATTCGAAATATTTACAAGTTCTTAGTCAAACTTCAATTTAAAATATTGATTTTAATCATTTTTATACATATTAAGCTTGTAAAAATTTGATTAGCATATTTGCAAATGAAATTTAGAGCTTGAATTTGGTCAAACTTACTCCTGTACTTTGTTTTATTGAGAAAAAAAAAGTGTAAAGTATCAAAAAATTTGACTAACACCTAATTCATTTCTTTTTTGGTGTTGCCGTATCTAATAGTTGTAACAATTCTTGTAATTCAATTTATATAAACCATTTGCAAATTAAGCACATGACGAAAGAAAAATTGTACATTCTGCTTTCTTTTTTAACCAAAAGAAAATCAAAACAATGATTTTATTTCAAAGTATTTAAAAAAGACAAGCATCATACAAGACTTTGAAAAGTACACAATTAATAAAGATCAACCAAAGAATGAATGAAGACATTAAGAATTAAAAGAATACAAGAATTTTATGAAAAAATAAAAAGAATACAAGAATATGTTAAACCAATTTCCATGGTCTTTATCCTTGGGAAATTGAAATCAACATTTGGGCATGTCCAGTGGTGGGGGTAGCATCTGCTCGTCAGGATTGTTACCATTCTTCACGATGAAAGTCATAGCCATTCCCCACGTCACATGACGCTCTAAATGACAATGCATGAACCATACACCTGCATATCCAGACCAAATTGAATCAATGTATAAGATCTAAAAATATAATCTTTAGGACTTCAAATATTTCTTGTGGAGTGAATGTACGTAAAATATTTATACCTGGATTTTTAGCGGTGAATCTTACGGTGACCCAGCCATTTTTGGGTATGGTCACAGTGTTTTGATAGGGAGGATCAACAAGATTGTAATTCAAAGGATCCTTGTCTTTGTCAAAGTTCCCAAATCCCCAACCCACCACATAGAAACTGTGTCCATGCAAGTGAATAGGATGTTCTGTTCCGGCAAGCACATTAGTTCCCTGAAGAACAAGCTCCACCGTGGATCCAAACTCTAGCACCTTCACCTCCGTGTCCACCGATGGAGTCCACAAGAATTGGGGCAGGTCATTGCCAGTAAAATCAAACTTCAATGGCGGTGTGTCCGGAAACTTGTCTCCGTAAACACCACTAGCGTTGTTATAGTAGGCCTGCAAAATGTTAGCCCCAGGAGGTAATTTGAAGCTTATATTGTTCATACTAGCGGCGAGACGATCTAGATTTGGGCCAACACACGTTGTACCGTTGTGACATGGCAATGTGTTGACGGAGACTGTGTAGAAAAGCTCGGTGCTTATTTCTAATGGCACATCAATGGGGTGAATCTTGTCTGCTAAGCTTCTAAATTGGCTCAAGTGCTTGGTGGAGGCAACAGTGTCGTTTGAGTTTGGAAGCAAAGGCATGGAAGGGACTGGTGAAGTGGAAATGTATCTGCTTCGTTTGTATTGAAGGATCGCAGTGGTGCTTGAGGGGTTAAATGGGACACTAGCAGAACTGGAATAAGCCTTAGCAGCCATGTAGTAGCGACCTATTGGTTGGTTTGCTTCAAGCAAGACATCCATAGTTTGACCAGGTGAGATAGTGATGTAATCTACTTTCACTGGCTTGATGTAGCTTCCATCTGTCCCCACCACTGTCAGTTTATGGTTTGCAATGCCAAAGAATAGGACTTGTTCCAGTGCAGCATTGACAATTCGAAGGAGGTAGGTTTTGCCATGTCGAACGTTCAGCTTGAATGTTTCTGACATGAATAGAAAGTAATAATTATTATATTAAAAACTGTAACTGGCATTAGAAGAGAATCAACACATAGATATAAAGTTAATCAACGAGCAATTATATATAATATTTACCTGAATTTGAGCATGGGTAAAGATCACCAGGTTGGCCATTAATGGTGTAAGCATCAGACAACACGGGGTCTCCTCCACTTCTGCGAAAGTCATTGTAAACCTGAACAATATCTTGTTTCCACCATTCTCCTGCATTTTTACAAGTCACGTATATAATTAACATCACATGTATGTCTTGAAAAACTTGAGAGCGAATACATGAGTCTAAAGTCCAGTTCTCAAATAAATACCTAATATAATGGGAACTTCTGCGTGCGGTTTTGGGAATGGATAGGTAGTTCCTGGCTTAGGTTTGATGACAATAGCGCCATGAACTGTGGCTCGAGAATAGTCACTGTGAGCATGCCACCACAGAGTGCCTTCCTCTTCTGAGAATATGACCCTCTGACTAAACTTGTGACCTGGTTTTATGGGACATTGAGTGATAAATTCGGGACCATCTGACCATGGATATCTTGGTTGGTTCACTCCATGCCTGTGAAAGATTGATAAATTAAATATTTTTAAACAAATTACTTGAAGCTTAGCTTTACGTTAACTGATAGAGAATTAAAAAAATGTGGGATTCGTTGGTTTGTTTCTGATTAACGTACCAGTGGATGGTGATGCTCTCGTTGGCTCGGTTGTAGACATCAACAATTATGGTTTCACCTTTGGTGACGTACAAGGGTGGTCCTGGAAATTGCCCATTTACTGTCAATATGTTCTTGGAGCTACACAGTCTTGTGTACGATGCTTCTTTGACCTGCATTGAATCAAACGCAAGGGTCATGTGATGCAAGTTATAACATGTACATATTGTATGTCTATATAATCTCATTATGTTTTTGAGAGTTAGAAATATTTCAAAATATATAGTTAAACTGAATTACTACCGTAATGAAACATACCTCAAAAGTATAATGCCTTAGTGCATGAGAAACGAGGAGGTTGTTGAGGAACAAAACTCCTAATATTTGTAAGATGAATATTACTGAGATTTTCATGGAAAATCTTGAAGAGTTGGTCTCCACAGATCAGTAATTTTTCTGATGCTGTTTGTTGCTTCCAGAAATTGTTCTCGTCCGGCTGATCAATGCTTGTGTTGGGAGATTGAAGAGAAAAACTTGATATATATTTGTTTCTTGAAGAAAGGCTTGATATAAGTGGATATATTGTTCTGCGAATGATTGAGATGTTTGAAGATGGTGGCCATACATGCTGGTATATATATATAGTTTTGCGAAAGGCTTTGGCATGAACATGATTACGCGTAAGACTACTTTTTCAATTTGTGTGGCTTGTTCTTTTCGCCTTTATTATTTTGTCCAAGTCTTTGAATTATATTATATGTTGCCAGGTCGTTATCAAAATATTCTTTCTGACAAACATGTTACTTGGTCATCAGAAACTAGCTGCTGTATCAAATAGTTTTTTGTTTCAGGTTGTCGGAAACAGCAATATACTTATGGATTACGAGACAAAAAGTTGAAGAAGCACGCGTAGGGTGGATATTTCTTAATGGATAAGAAGAAGTTCATGGTTTGGCTTCAAATATAAAAAGCTGGTCAATTATTTTGAATGTTTCTTCCTTTATGGGCTGATGATGGGAAGCCAGCTGCTAAATTCATTCATTTCTTCGTTAACACACCGTTTTTTTTTTTTTTTTGCATCAGCTGTAGAGAAGAAAAAAGTTTGTGAGAATATATATACTCACATAATAAATTATGAAAATCCAAAACCAACACATGTAGAGAGTCAAAGGCTAAATAAATATACCAAAGCCTTGAAATTGCGATACGGTCAACTTTTTTTTTCCTTAAAAAAAAAGGTCATTGATTTCTTTGATATTTCAAAGATAGCAACAGCTAAGATTCTTTTCAATCATTAAACTTATCTCGCTACACATTCCAATTTGAATTAAGAATTTTGGGTACAAATATACCAATTAGTTTAGAATTATCGATTCGTAAGTTAAATTTAATAATTAAAAGTAAAGGTCATATATTAATTATAATTGTTCATCTTTCGCTTTAATCAAGTGTATTATGTGTTGATTACCAGAGGTATATGTCACTTGCCACCTTTTATTTTCGCCTTATTTTTATAGGTTCATCTGTACGAGAAATTCCAAAATAATGTTTTAATGATCAATATTAATATAATATTTATTATATATAATTAATTAAAGTGTCAAGTTATTCATAAACCTTCAATAGCAACGCACACATACAAAGTTACACCCATAATTGTCAAACTCTAAAGTTAACTCAAAAGTTTAATGTTTTTATGTTTTTAGCTTATAAAATCGTATCAATTCGTTCATAAACTCAGACTAAATACAAACTCGATTAAACTTGTGAGTTTATCTTCGAGTTTATCATTTTTTACGTTTCTAACTTACAAAATTATGTTAATTAATTCATAAACTCAAACTAGATACAAACTTGATTAAACTTATTAATTAAGCTCGTCAATTTTTTTTTTTAATTGAGCGAGTAAAGTATATACTATGAAGAATTCAATTTATAAAAGTTATAGGACCTGATTCAAAGAAAAAATTGTAATGAAGAAACTAATATTAATAAAAAAGGAATACAAATACCAAAAATAAGTTCTCCCATTTTAAAATTTTTATGTCTTGTAGATAATTTATTAATGAAGATGAGTTTAATTTTAATGATTTATATTTTTAAAATAGTTAAATTAAATTATAGTCATATTTTAATGGTTATTTGTTAATAGAAGTAAATTCTTACGAGTTTATAATCTGAGTTTGCGATACGAGTTTACATTTCTGTCACGAGTTTACCTAAACTTGCAAGTTTAACAACCTTGGTTATACTACTTATCTTGAAGACAAACATTTATATTAAATGTTTATAATAAAAATGGAACCGTCATATTTCAACGAAGCCTACAATAAATTGAATACTTACTGGTTTAACGCAATTGTTAGGTTCAAAATAGAAATTATATTTCTGAATTTTTTTTTAATGAGTTGCATTTTCAATGATAAAATCAATATTTTAAATGATATTTTATTTGTAGGCTAGGATGTTTTCAAAATAAAAATGCTTAAATGAGAGCGGTTTGTGTGTAGTTTGAGAGGTTTTGAGATCAGCGTGAATGCATGATTACGCGCAAGAATATAATAATATTCAATATTTTTGGTTGCCTTTGTGTTTTGCGGCTTTAATTTGCCATGAACTAAATACTTGGTCGTTAAAGCTATATTATATTGAATATTCTTTCAAGACCTAAGTGTTGATCAGCTAAATAATCTATTCATATATAACAGTATGTATGTGTGTGATAAATATCGATTAAAGTTAATTAATTAAGTGAAGTGAGAAATAAACACAATAAAATTATTTACGAACAACACCAATTTATTAAAAACCGAAGCATGTCGATTATTCCCTAGTTCGTGGTCTAATCCATTATAATCCTTACAACTAAACACCGAGAAAACTGGTCAAATATCGGTAAAATTGGCCAAAACTAGACATGTTCGATCCAATCAAAAGAACTATAGATTAATTTTTTTAAAAAAATAGAAATGTATACTTGAAATAAAAAAGCATAACCATTAATCAAACTTGCAAAAAAACTGTAATTTTACCTATGCAGTTCAACACTCTACTGCAAGCAGAGAAACCTCTCCATTTTTTTTATCATTATTTTCTCTCCACCACCTATAAATCAAAACCATTAATATTTGAGAAAATAACAATAAAATCCCTCTAAAATATATAAATGATAATTTGGTCCCACGAAATGTCATAATTCTCCGAAGTCTTTAGGGACTTTTCTGTTATTAATGAATTTACATAAATTATCAAATTGCCCTTGTTGAAAATAAATGATTCACAAGTTCTTTTTAAATATTCACAAATTTTCTTCTTATATTTGCAATAATGGAACGGCAAATCACAACTTTGTATGTTAAATTCCTTATCTGCTGTTGCATTATTATGAATATAAGAATGAAAATTGTAAATATTTAAAAAAAACTTGCGAATCATTTATTTTCAACAAGGGCAATTTGATAATTTATATAAATTCATTAACGATAAAAAAGTTCTTAGGGACTTCAGTCGAATTATGGCATTTCGAGAAACTAAATTATCATTTATATATTTCAAAGGGATTTTATTGTTATTTTTTCTTAATATTTCTGCATTAGATGAATATGTTTTAATAATATATTTAATAAAAAGATTATGATTAGGAAAATCTAAGGGAAAAAGATGATAAACAAATAAAAAGGTTCCCCACCCACGCACGCTACACGTATGATTAGAGCTGTCGGGCTGGCCCTTTTAAGCCTGAAAATAACTAGAGTTGGACCTCTACTTTGGAAGGAAAAATAATAATTTAGCCTTAAAAGGCTTGCCCTCTTTAAGCCTAAAAATAAAAGAGTTGGCCCTTTAACGCTAGTATCGGCCCTTTTAAGCCCTTTTATTTTTTTTAAATTATAATATGAAAAATAGAAGGTTAAATATATAACTAAAAGAAATGAACATATTAGACTCATTCATCCGTCCTTCATTCATTCATTAAGATTTAGCTAATAATGTTAGCCAAGTATAATTTTTATTAGTATTAATTTTTATATTAGACTTGAATGTTTAAATTTTCTTTATTTGTTGTGGTGTAAATTGATTTAAATTTATTTTCTTAAACTTAATTTTATGTATAATAAATTTTTTAGAATTGATATAGATATATTTTTATAATTTTAAATTAAAAAAGTAAAAAAAATAAGACTGAGACCCTAAGGGCTAAGGTCGGGCTTTATAAAAAGGAGCCCTGAAATATAATTGGGCTTATTAAGGCCAACCCGCTTAAACCCTGGCCCTTCAAGGGCTGACTCTTTAGGGTCAAGCTGGCCTTAATTGACAGTTCTACATACAATCTACATTTCTTGTGTGGCTTTTATAGAAAAGACACACCTTATCCAACCTTTGATAGGGATTGAAATGGTATCTAGATCAGGCCTTCTTTATCCCCCCCCTCCCTTTTTTCTTCAACTATTTTTTTAATGTAAATATAGATTTTTAATTTTTGCAAATTTTTATACTACTATTTATTTATCTACATTTTTCAAAAAAAAAACTTTATTTTTTTTTACTTCAGATTTTGCAAGCCTCTTAAAAGTGTCTAATATTTTGTTGTTTTCTTATATAATGAATAAGGAGTGGAGAGAAATAATGATAAGATCTTGCCAACTGCAAATTTAGAATGATTATTAAGATCTATAGTAACTTCTTTGCTTCTAGCTATCCAATTCCATTTCTCAACAAACCCTATCATATTTTTTAAAAAAATTATCATAAACAACTAATGATATTTTTTAAATTTTCCCTATTATATATTAATAAAATGATATTTCAAAAATAAAAAAATTATTTATTTTCATTTTATAACTTTAATCTTCAAATAATATTTTACAAATTGTCACGTATAATGATATATAAGATATAAAATTAAAAATAATATCTCAAGTTAATCCTAACTAGTTCAACCACGATTCAATCATGGTCTGATTATTGATCTCTCCAATTATTGCCTTGCTTGGTTTAAAACTATAATGAATAAGTAGTGAACAATAATATTAAATGACAAATATAATTAAATTAGAGTACTCCTTTCACCCCAATTTATAAGATATTTTTAGTTAAAATCACACAAATTAATAAAGCTCATCAAATACACTTTATGATATTATTTTTTTATGACAAAAATATAAACATCTAAAAATGTCTCTTTATTGAATACTCTATTTGGGAAAGAATATTAGAAAGAGAATATAATAGGAAGGATGATATTAAGAAAATATTATTAATAGAACGTTATTTTCTCAAAATATCTTATGCTTAGAAACATTGAATTTTCATCCAAAGTATCTTATAAATTAGGATGAAAGAAGTATTATTTTAGCCTATAGCTTATTATTCCTTTCGATGTGCGGTTGGTGCTGGAAAAGGTCGAATTGCAATTAGAACTTATGTATGACAAAGCAAAGTTGAAGAAGTATTCGATCAATGTGGAAGTTTCTTTGGATAAGAACAAGTTCATAGTGTTCAAATAACATAAAAAAAGTCAATTCCTTGAAAGTTAACTTTTTGTTTCTATTAGGTGTAAAATACCCACGGTTTTTCAGAACGGATTACAAATTATTATCGAAGACTTTACGATAGATGCATCATAACTTTACGTGATTCCCGGCGTGATTCCCACCCCAAATTAAGACAACATTTTGATTATGGATCAAGGCTTATGATAATAATAACAATAATTAATAAATGATGAAATCCAAAATTGTCAAATACAGAGTCAAATGGTAAAAAAACAAAAAACACACCAAAGACAATTTGAATAGCGTTACTGTAACTGATTGGCAAAAAACACCAGTTTATCCTTATCATTGACATTTCGACCATAACATAGCAGTTGTTCATCAAATATATTTCTTTCGCTTTCATTCCTATTCCCAACGATTAAATAATTACCTTTTTATTGAAAAACTAATCAAGAAAAAAAAATATTACAACAAACAAATACACAATAAGAAAAATGCAAACTTTGGGGATAGAAACAAAAATTGGTGGTGCTTGTTTTAATAGCATTTTGGCATGTCTAATGGTGGCGGTAACATCTGCTCATGTGAATTTTTACCATTCTTCACAATGAAAGTCATAGCCATTCCCCATGTCACATGACGTTCTAAATGGCAATGCATATACCATACACCTGCCAAAAAAAATTAGAGTAAATTATATAATTTTTCTTGAATTTTATTATAATTATAAGAGATCTATCTTATGCTATCAAAATATATATATATATATATATATTAATTTTACCAATATTACATAGAACTATCATCTATTTCTTTCTCTTTTTAGTGGTACTCAATTTTTTTTTCCTCAATAGATGTGACAAATTTGATACAATTATTTGAAAGAAACTCAGGTACACCTGTGTAATGTCCTCATTTTCAGGATAGCTTTGTATGATTTTTGAAAATAAAAAGGGAGGCCTATGAAAATTAGAAAAATTAAAAAATGATCCAAATAATTTCAACAATATTAAAGAGAAATGTGTATAATCTACCAAAAAAATAAACCACTAGAAAATTAAGGCATTAAATTTAAGAATGCAACATATACATACCCGGGTTGTTGGCCCTGAATCTTATGGTGAGCCAACCATTTTTGGGAATAGCTATGGTATTTTGATAAGGAGGATCCGCAAGATTATAGTTTGAATTTGTTAAAGTTCCCAAATCCCCATCCGACCACATAGAAACTATGTCCATGGAGATGCATGGGGTGTTCTGTCCCAGCTCTCAAGTTAGTCCCTTGAAGAACAATTTCCACTGTAGAGTTATACTCAAGAACCTTCACTTCTGTAGCCACACTTGGAGTCTCCAAGAACGTAGGTAAATTTTCAGCAGTAAAATTGAAAAACAATGGAGGCACATCTGGGAAATTTTCCTCATAAACACCAGTAATGTTGTTGTAGTAAGCCTGCAAAATATTACTGCTTGAAGGCAACTTGAAGCTTATATTGTTCATGCTGGAAGAGAGACGTGTCGCGTTTTCACAAGTCAAACATGGCAAAGAATTAACAGATTCCGTGAAGAAAAAACTTGTACTTATCTCTAATGGCACATCAATAGGGTGGTTTTGATCTGCTAAACTTCTGAGTTGGCTTATGAGGTTGATGGAGGCATTGGTGTCATTGGAGGCTGGAAGGAAACGTAAGGAAAGTGAAGGTAATGAAGATGGAATATGGCTTTTTCCCTTGTACTGAAGAATAGCAGTGGTCATGGTGGAATCAAATGAAACACCAGAGGCACTGGAATAAGGTGAAGAAGCCATGTAATAGCGATCTAATGGCTGGTTCGCTTCGAGTAAGACGTCCATGGTTTGGCCCGGATAGATTGTGAGGTAATCTACTGTCACTGGTTTTGTGTAGCTTCCATCTGTTCCTACCACTGTGATTTTGTGATTTGCAATGGCGAAGAATTGATTGTTTTCAACAGCAGCATTGACTATTCGGAGAAGATAGGTTTTGCCATACTCTACCATGAGCTTGAAAGTTCCTGTATACATTGAATACATTCAAATGTGTGATTCCATTATATATATTTTGAAAAACATACTATTTGTCTCATAGAATGAATGGATGATGAAGAAAACTTTTTAAGAGGTAGCATTTGGACTGATGCATTTGATGAATTGGGATTTTAGACTTGAAATCTTATATTTCAGATCTCACATATAAAATCCATATATTTAAAATCCTTCGTTTGGCTAGTTTTAAAAACTTCAAATGAAGATAGATGAGTTGGGATTTGAAATGAAAATGAAAATTTGAGAACGATAAGTTTATCTCTATTTTTTAATCCACAAAAGATAAGAAAAGATATAAGAATCATAACAGTATCAATAGTAACAATATGAAGAGAACAAGATATTTGAAGTAGCTAGAATTTTAAATGAGTAGGATGTAGGGAGAATTTAAAATTTACAAGTAAATTATATATAAGAAGAAATGGAATTTCATAAATTTTTGTATATCCAAGTGAGGAATTTGATTCAAATTCAAATCTAAATCTCTATTAATCCATATGCACCATAAGTATTTTTCGTTGTTCCACATAATTCTAAGGAAATATACTACACACACAAAAACTATAAAATCTAATATATGTATTATACTTTTCTTACCAGACTTGGAACAAGGATAAAGATCTCCAGGCTTGCCATTGATAGTATAAGCATCCGAATTATTGGGATCTTGCCCATTTGATAGAAATTCATTGTAAACCTCAGAAATATCACTCTTCCACCATTCCCCTACATTCACAACTCACACTTAATAGTCAGCACTTTTCTTATAAAAATACCTCCTGAATCATCAATACACTCCTTTTGTTTATAAATATAATGCATTTTTTTAAGGGTTAGAGGTCCAAAAATGTACATTTCTAGTATTTCAAGGTGTAATTAATGTGCTTTTATAAAAAATGCCATTAATAAATCATTTTATATTTAGTAATCCTATTAAATAAGGATAAATGTGACAAGATAATATTAGTTGGAAGACATTTAATTAGTGCATTGAGAAGTAAAATTCAATTAAAAATATCTTACATTTCTTAATAGAACAAACCACAAGGAATATATGGGCCCAGAGAGAGATCTAGTTCTACAATATATGTATATTTTATTTATATATGTACCTATTATAATGGGAACTTCTGCATATGGCTTTGGAAAAGGATAAGTAGTTCCTGGCTTAGGTTTGACGACGATGGCTCCATGAACTGTGGCTCGAGAGTAGTCACTATGAGCATGCCACCATAAAGTGCCTTCTTCTTCTGAAAATATGACTTTTTGGCTAAACTTTCCACCTGGTCGAATGGGACACTGGTAATAAATTCAGGACCATCAGACCATGGATATCCTGGTTGGGTTACTCCATGCCTGCATTAATTTAGTTTCATTTTTATTTTTCACAAAGCATTAATCTAGATATACATGCATACATGTCCTGAAAATTTTATATATAGCGAAAATATAATTATCCTTCTTTGATTATGTTTACACAAATTTTTTTTATGATATGATGATCATTATTTAATTACAGCTTAAATATTAATTTAAAATTAATTCCTTAGAGTTTAATAACGGAGGAATGACATTAAAAAACCAAAAGATTGTGTAAACTTAAATAAGAAACAAAAAATTTGAACATTTGAAATAAGGATCAAAGGTTATTTAGTGAATTAGTCTAAACTCACTCCTATTTCATGATTTGCAGCTATCAGAACAAACAATTTGCAAGTGAGATTTGGAATTTGTAGACATAAAACTTGTCAAATATAATATTACTTGAAAATCATTTTCCTTTACAAATTAACAAATCTTGCTTATAAATTCATGTTTTGAAGGTTGCAAAGAAGGCTACGAGAGTAGCAAACTACGAAGTGATAATATATATTTTGAGAGGCTTTTCCTTTACATAAATTACTGAAATTCATTTTACAAATTCTTGTCTTGATGCTAGTAAAACATGGAATGAGAGCAGCAAATTCTTAAACCAATTCACTAATTCTATGTTTGGATGCATAATGATTTGGATTCGGGCTAAATTTCCTATTTAGATACTTAAAGATTTATGGATTTGGATTTTATTCCAACCCATATCCAAATTTTATCTTGATTCATTTGTTATTCCAAACACTACCTAATAATAATAACTTTTGTTATTTAAATTGAGCCCAAACAGATAATTTTAAATACATAGATTTAAAATGTGATATTTAAAATCAAAATTTCAAATCTAAATATACTAATACAAACACTACCTAAAGGATCTCTTGTCCTTATTTTGGATGTCCATATCTCTTTTTGGATAAACCAGACGAGGCCCCATTAAACTTGGGCAAGATTATTACAATCCGCTATCAATAAAGTCTCCATCTCGGGGGATGGGAAATTAAGACCAAAAAAACCAGGATAGCTATTCAGAGCCTGCTTCGCTAAATGATCTGCTATAGTGCATTTTCAGATCACTTTACTCATAAAAAATAAATAAATAAATAAACTGATCATTGTGCCTAAATTTGTAGAATAATTACAGGAAGGAAAGGTTTTACCAATGAATGGTAATATTGTAGTTGGCTCTGTTATAGACATCAACAATGATAGTTTCCCCTTTTGTAACGTACAACGTAGGCCCTGGAAATTGACCATTCACAGTTAATATATTCTTCCTGCTGCACAGTCTTGTGTAGGCTGCGTTTTTTACCTTCAATTCAATTCATTAATCATACAGTTATATCCTTTCTTTCCTCAAAACAAAAAGATGTTGTAATATTATTTACTTCTCCACTAATAACAGAATACATTCATATTATTATATATCAATTAATGCATTTATATCAATTATTTATATTATATAATAAGTAAACATTATATATTTGGCCACCTTACTCTGTTTCCTGTTAATTCACCTCAACATAAGGATTAACAACATTAGTTACATGTTTGCATATTTAACATTGTTAGTATCATCTCGTCATATTTTTTGGGACATATTCAAAAATAGAAACATTAATATTGCAAACAGGATAAACAGAGGAACCTGAAACAACAAAAAAAGAAAATAGTAGAACCTATACCAAAATTTGTTAGAACTACAGGACCAATAATGTTTTCTAAAAAAACAATTAGCGGAGAGTGGGAAGAAAGTATACCACAAAAGTGTGACGCCTAAAAGCTTCACAAACGAAGAGACCATTGATGAGCAGAAGCACCAAGATCAATGCAATTTTCATACTGGTCATTTTTCTCAGAAATATGGACTCATTATATGAGTATGAATGCATGATCAATATTTAATATTTACTATGAGTGCCTATGAGATTTTTCACTTTGATGAAAATACAAGATGTGATGCATGTATTTATAGTGAGACTTGCGTCGGAATTGTGTATTCTTTTTTGTCCTCCTCTTGTTCACCAATCTTCAAAGGGAAAGTGATATTTGAGAATTTTTTAAAAGAATATTTTATAGTTAAGGACCATGAATTTTAGAAATTTTAAAGATGGACCAAAATTTTTTTAATACTCATGTTTAATATTTTTAGAACTTCAAAAAATTAATGATAATTGTTGCAAACATTAAAGCTAAGATAAGCATCAGAAAAAAAATCGAGATTGAATACTAAAAAATTGATTAAATGAGAGTTGAAAATATTAAAGATGAATATTTAAATGATAAAAATTCAGTAGAGAAAAAAAATAATGAAATGAACAGTGGGAAAATTACATGAAAAAAAACATAATCGTAATCATCCAGGACTTTGGTGTTTTTTAAGATTTCATAAATGTATAGTCTCTAACGGTAATTGTCATTATCAAATTGAAGATAAAGACACGTGTTTTACTTTGTCACGATTTTTATAGTGAAGGAAGCCTTATGGAAGTGGAGAAAGCGAAGGCCTTTTCGTCACCTTTTGTATTTTCTCATATTCAACCAATAGAAATGAGACCTTTTATAAAACAATAACAAATATATGCACTTATTAATTAAAATCCATATTTTTAAAATTGGATCAGTCTTTGAATTGATAATTAATACGATATTCAAATTATTTGCATGGTTCAATAAAATTATTAGTAATTGAATAACTATATTTAATCAATCACTAGAGAATATAAAAATTTAACAAATCATATTATTAATAAGTTTTAAACAATATAACTCATTTTCTAACAAAACTGAAATACTTTCATTCGCAAAGAAAAAATTACAAATCAAAGGATAGAGAACCGAAGAAGAATACAACTCCATTCTTGTTTTTCTTATGCCAACTTTCGATTTTACGTAATGTTGTTTAATCTATCGATTTTCTTGGTTTTTATCAATTTTTAACTAAATCAGCTTCGCGAACATTTTAGGTCTAACCATGCATATATGTTTGGTTAGATGGGTTGTCACCGATCGAACAGACTAATCAATCAAGTTCTGTTAACAATAATGATTAAAATTGATTGTGCTATTAAACAAAATATGAGAGTAATTTTTTTTTTAATCTATTCGGATTTAGTTTTATTGCAACAATATTTAGTTGTTTCAGACTTTAAATTTTCACAAAAAAAGCTGTATTAATGTTTCACCCTATATTTATCAATAAAACGTGTGTTTATGAAGTCAAAGTTTATTGCTTGTGGGGGACTGAAGTTGTATCTCAATGAAATAAAATACCTTCATTTAGGTCACATTCAATTAATTTTTATTGTAAACATAGTTTGGCAAGCAATAGCTTTCTTTGTTTTTTTTTTTTTTTTGGCCTGAAGCTAGCAATAGCTTTCGTGTTATGAACCTTAGAAAAATAAATTCTACTTTCATATCTGGCACATATGCAAAATTAGGGCTGCGAATGGTTGTTTGTCAATAAGATAAAACTCTATTTAATGATGCTCCCAAAGCAATCATCGAATATATATTTTTCCTGTTCAAAATCTGTTCACAACTAAATCAATCATGTATGAATAGTTGCTGGATCGTTTATTGGGACACAATATCAAATATAAATTTAAATATCAATTAATTTTTTTATAACCCATTAAATCTTCACAAAAAAGGATTGTAGTTTTTGTTTTGATTAAAAGGTTTATAAAAGTAGGTAGATATAATATTAAAATTTGTATTGGGCCTTTCGTGCTCTTAGAGAAATAACATTTCTCTCCAATTGATAAAATATTCTCAATTTTATCCCCAAAAAAAATTCACAATTTTTGAATTATTTTGTACATTTTTAGCATCAAACATATATTTAACTAATTAATTTACACAAAAAAAATAATTTTACGTGAAATGTATATCAAATATAGTAAATTATATCTGACGAATAAAATAGTATATCCACTCAAGATTTTATCTGCATAAATGATATTTTGTATAACATTTTGTTTGAAATAATCATTTTCTACCCACCATTTTTGTGGGTAATATATGATTTTGGCAGACATATATACATATATTTGTCAAACATATATACACATATTTGTCAAACATATATACACATATTTGTGAAGAAAAATCAAGTTGGTCTCATAATTGTGTACCAAGTAGATCCTACCTGAGACTCGAATGCTGAATCAAAATCTGCAGTCTTTCAAAAACTTGTCACAAACTCTATATGAGGGCCATTTACAATTAATCCATCAAACTAATTAAAGAATACAACCAATTGCATTTACAATAAGATCTATCAAGCTATGATAATATTCGATACTCATTTCATTCCCACCCTACAAAATTTTCTCACTGATCGCATACTTATGCTACCAAGTAACTAACGCTAGAGCTTCACTTGAAATAGAGAGAAACTCCAAGGGTCCACCCCAATAAACAATCTCTCCACAACATTTTTTGTTTACTCATTCAATTCTGAACTTAAGCTCAACCTTTCTCCAGAGACAAAATTCGGATACCTTCATGTGACATGATAGTCATGTGAACAACGAGATCAACATGAGATTTGTTGCTTTTCTGTGGCTAACTGATTATTTGTGTCCAATCTCTCTAATTACATAGCTCTTATACTGAATGAGAAGAACCGAATATAGAAACACATGAAGGAAGCATCAACGCACTATATCACCAAGGAATATTAGCCGGTTCTTGAAACTCAACCTGATCAAGTCAGGGTCACCATCAAGGATATTTTTACGGTTTCTTTGACGTCCTCAAGTTTTATTTCAAGATTTTTCTTTTCTTTTTAAGCTTGGTCTTGATCCTTCCATGCATCTTTGTACCTCTAAATTTACAAGACATTTGTCAGCTGTTAACTTTTTTTATCAATAAGATAAGCACAAACAACAAAACCAAACTTATTTCAAAAGAGTATGAAAATCGGGCACCAATTACTATTGAGCGTCTTTAGATTCCAAAAGTATGATATTGGCTTGAGAAATTATTCTAGATGTCTACTGATTAAACTTTCCATTCAAAATATTCAAGCAAAATCAATAGTTTTGGTTATTATTTAATATCAACCATTGTTGCAATGCCTACATTCTTTGATTTACTCCCATGGCCAATGAAATAATCATATTCAATTAACAAATGAACTAACTGACATGATAACGGACAAATATGGATAGATTATTAAATAGTTATAGTATTTGGTGGATGTGAAAATAGCTTTGGAAGATCCCATTTTTAGGTGTAAAAAATTATCTATTTGCTGGTATTATATTAGAGAACAGGGAAACCAAAACTTAAAAGCATATGCCTAAGTTTCTTGCTATGGCATTTTACCAGCCAAAAATCTCATTAATATACCTTTGGTATAACGTTGATTTGATAGGCAAAGATCAACATGCAATAATACTCAATGATGCTTTTATCCTCTTGATCTTCATCATTATCGTAAGCTTTGTTTGACTTCATGGTTACCTACACAAAAGAAATCAAATACCAACAGAGTCAATTGAATCTAGTTAAATCAAACAGAAATTTAAAGATTTATAGTTATGAACCCAATTTGAAACACGAACTACTCCTCATCAAGGAGCCAGAATTAGAAAACAAGAAACCAATCTGAAACAAAGAAACAACAAATGTACCGAAACCAGAACCCAATCCTCCTCGAGAACCCAATCTGAAGTAATAGTTATGATACAAGATGAAGATAAATCAGGCACATCACAGAAAAATGATGACAAATTTTGATACAAGTCTCCAAAATCATTGCCAATCAGAATCCGGTGAAGCAAATGAAAAACCCTTAAACCTCGACTCTAAAAGATATCGAAGGAGAAGGGAAAAAATTGAATAATACCAAAAGAACCTATCGCTGTTGAAGAGTTTTCCGGTGAACTCAATCAGTTGAAAATGATCAATCCAGTTCACTCTCAAACTCATCACTCATGCATTGCAACCTTTCGATGCTTGCCAAGCGCTGTGACAGAGTAGGCGAAGTACAGCCACGCCGGCAGCAAAGAGGACCTAGTTCAAAGATGGGGCATTGGGCTCGAATCACTCTAGAGTCTATAGGATTCTGAGGTTGTCGTGAAACTCGGCGCAGACGAGGCTGAGGAGGAAGGACTCGTCGTTGGAGACGATCTTAGGGATGCCTTCGAGGGAGACGATGTCAGATCTCTTGTTTCCGCTCTTCTCTAGAGTCGAATCGCTCAGGTCTGGAAGTGGGAGAGAGAAGCCGAAGCGATGAAGCGTTAGATCTGAAAAGGAGGATGCCAAGGGTCGGTGAAGATGATGCCGAGGGTGTGTGTAAGAGAGTTGATGAGTTTTAGGTAGGTCTTTTGAAGATACTAATACTTATTTAAAGAAAAGAGATAACTTGAATTGTAAAATGAACAAAAAAAAAAGTTAATTTAAATTTTTAGCAATACTATGTTTCTAATTATGATATACAATAATGTATCTGATGTTTTACACTTCCCTTATATTGAGTATTAATGAATGTCAACGTATATATGCGAAATTATGAGTAGTTATGGAATAGCATATGGTCAAGAAATATTTTTGAATGTTTCACAAAAAAATCTGATAAATAAATTTAAATCTTTCTTATTAGGTTTCTATAGTATTTATACTCTGTTTCATCCTCCTATATGTGTGTGTGGACAAGAACAATAAATCTCTGTTTTTTTTTTTCATGTCCTATTATGTTGTTTCATTCCATTTTCTTTTACATACCTAAAAAATCCAATGTACATCTTTAAAAAAAAAACATTGAATGTACATTAAAATAATGAAACTCTAATTGAAAATTATTATTAGAGAACCTAATTCATGAAAAATTGGCAGAAATTCCGTGCACATTTGGGAAAAAAATCTTGCAACTTGTCTTGTTTGAGAATAGTGTAAAAAGGCATCATCAAGA